CCCCAAAACCCCAAAACCCCAAAACCCCAAAACCCCAAAACCCCAAAACCCCTGGGTGATGGTAGTAAATTGAAATTACAGATATAATCATAATTTTTCATCTTATATGCTACCTCTAACCCAAGATTTTCCTTCAGAAATCGCAAGCTCTTGATTCCCATCCAAGAAGTTGGCTATTCCTCAAAAATATACTGAGGCCCTCCTGGAAATGCAAGAATTTTGCTTATGAGACTTTTCACAAGAAACCTTGGCAAAGACTCAAGAATTAGCTTCCAAAAGTGGCCAATATCTTATTGAAAATCTCCACAAAGTTCATCAGAAAATGATAGAAGCAGCTACTACTAGAAGAGATGGTACCCTACCAAGCTTGGCCAATAGTCTTAAACTTAATCAAAGTCTTTCTTATGACTCCATTGTAAAGCCTTGCAGTGCTGTCAAAGACAATCCTGGCTTCAAAAGGGAAGCTTCACAACACCCTGAAATATCAGAGTTGGAAGGGTTTGAAGGACTCACAGTTCTTGGCGCTGACAATCAAGGGATTGAGTGTACTACCCAACCTTCAGGCAAGAGACTCTCAAATCTTACCAAAAGCAAAGTTAACATGAAATTGCTTCAAAATTACAACTGAGAAATTGAGAAAAGGAAGAATTCCAAAGGAGGCATCACCACTGCCTACATCTGTAAATATGATAACTGTAACAAAGAGTTTACCAGGACTTGGAGTATCATAGATCATGTCAGAATGCACGAAGGATATAAGCCTTATAAATGCAAGCATTGAGAGCGCTCCTATACACAGAAGGGCAACTTACTTAAGCACATGAAGAGACACACAGATCCTAGCTTAGATCATAGAAGGAGCTACATCTGTGAGTTCTGCAACAAAAAGTATACCGAAAAATATAACCTCAAGGTAAGTTTTTCAGCAATATTTGACCTATTGTCTAGACTCATCAAAAGAAATTTCACTTAAACCAACTTAAACAGACTAAATCTGAAAAGGACAGTGCGAAGTTAACAGTTAATTCATAAAAATCATTGAACTAAGCTTCTCTTTCCTGTATGTCAGGGGTCTTCAGGAGTTGATATTTCATTGCTAGGTTCTATGAAATCTAACAACCACTCAAACATTAGCATAATTCTTAACAAGGTCGTATCTATCATTACGAATCTGCCTCTAATTTTTGGGCTGGGAATGTAGAAATTAAGCTCTATAAGCAACAGTTACTAGGCATGAATAAAAAGTCTTGTCGTTTTCTTAGATCAACCATTTCAGAAATTAAAGCGTCCCAGAATATTAATTCCTGCCTTATTTCTGAATCAATGATGTCTTGACTTCTGGATAGAACCAAATTGGAAAGATTACATCTTAAGAAATGAAGCATCTTGATATGATTCTTTGTTTAATACTATCCAGAACATTTCATTATGGTTGGTATAAGCCATCACCAATGAGACATCTGTGTCTCTCAGTATTTCTCCGGTTTATTTAAACTTATGAATATTTGTATTCGGGTCTTTATCCTCCCATACACGAAGCTCAAAGCTGATTATGAGTAATAAGAGCAAGAATTTCGTGATGTTAGGATTGCTTAGGACTTCTTTGATAGAATTCTATACCGATTCAGGTGATTTCCAAGATTCAATTTCATACTTAAGTTTATCATCGTCAAATATTAACTTTCGTAAAATATCTAGTAATTATTTTTCAAGCAATCGCCTGAACTAATCAGGAAGACTTTGTGATCAAGATTATTATCTAGTTGAGAGGCATCATTCATGCTTCTCAGAACTTGGAGTTATGAGCATGGCAGTATTTACAAGTATTTAGTAATAGATATCCATGATGTAAAGGTGTAAGTCCAATTGTCGTAGCCTAAGACATCCTCATATAGGACGACGACTGGAGCAACCATACTTATCCATCCAATGTTTCTAGATAATTTATGGCTATTTATAGTGTTAAAAAATTTTGAGACTCTTTATAAAGTTTTTCATGAAATTGTCTCATGATCAAAGTGAAATATCTTTATGAAGGTCGCGATTTTCTAACTTGTAAAGTTGACCATAAAGGATATAATAAAGGCTTAAAGGGCTTGTCCTAATGCATCTTAGTAGGAAATCATATTTAGACTAATATCTAAACTCTTTCTCTAAATCTCTGTTCTGATTATAACCTTCATGGCTTAAATTTCTAATGAAAACTATTGAGACCAAGTGGATTCTTCTAATTTAAATTTCAGAAGAGAGTTTCAATTTTGAACTTCATGTTTGGCTGTTTAGTCCATGAATCGCTGATACCAATTGAGGTCTGCTAGGTGCTCAAAATGCTGTGTAAGCTCTTTTATTGGATCCACGACTAAACCACCATATTCAGGCTACTTCAGGAAAACTTGTGAATGGAGGTTCATATCTCTGTTTTAGAGGAATTATTATCCAATAGAAAATCATGCCATGCTCAGGACTTTTATAATTAAGTTGAGCTTCAAACTGCTGAAGACTATAGACAGCTTCAGGCTCAAAACTTTGGTGGACAACATATCTGTAATCTCTCATGATTTTATGAAATAAGTTAGGATCATCTCCAATTTCTGAAGGTTTAATATGACTTAGATGCGAAAACTCTAGTATATAATCCTCCGTGATTAAATTAGGCTGTCCTTTTTATTCCTTATAGTTTATCGAAGTTTTACTTAGTACAAAATCAAGACCTAACCTCTTTTTCTGAGCCTGGCTTTAGACATTTTTGAATCGAAATATCAAAGTTTTAAATTTATTAAATTTATTTAACTCTACCAATGGCTATCCATGAACATAAAAGAATGACGTACAAGGACAGAAATCTCACTATAGATGCTGGCTATCAACTTTGGCGCAAATTACATAATTAATGTCATCGGATTTAGAGCAAGTAAAACCCAAACAAGATATCCTGAGCCTTTTGTGAGGCCATTTATTTGTGCTTGATAAATAATTGCATGAAAACTCCAGAATGACAGTAATTTCTAAACCAAATTCATCAATAAATTTTTAACCAAAGCTTTGTCCATTAAGAGTTTGGGATAATTAACCTGCCTGTAGACTTAGCAGCAACTCTTCACAATGGTAGGATAAGACTCTAATTTAGAAGAGATTTAACTGTAAAAACATTGGAAATTTGGTTGAAACAGCTCTAGTTAATTCATAAAGTTCGATTTGAAACCTTTGTGGGTGACGTAGCACAAAATTTTAACAGACTCTGTCATCTGACAAACAGGGCTATATAATCAGGAAATTTATGATTACAGCCATAATAACATTCTTTAAGGCAGAAAATGGTTCTTTAAAGTCAATTTTGGCTGTAAAAATCAACAGAGAATTTTTAGGAAAAGTAAGCTTCCAGCTTCTTCAGCCTGATGTTTAAGACTTAAATGATAACGATGCGAAATCAGTCGTGGAAGTACCATATCTTATGCATATTTCAATTTATCATGCTTGCTAAGGGGTTTTGGGGTTTTGGGGTTTTGGGGTTTTGGGGTTTTGGGGTTTTGGGG